TCCCTTGGTTTCATGGTACTCCTCTCTCCTGAATGTCCACCAATCTCACCTAATGTATCTTCTCTGCCTCTCTGCTGGCCCCTTCTTCTTTGCTTGATCTCCAAATGTTGAAGTGCCCAAGAGCCTTATCTTTGGCACATTTCTTTCCTCCTCCATCCCTAAGTGACCTCATTGTGTAGCTTTAAATAAAATCTGTATGCTGAGGACTCCCAATCCATTCTCTATAGGCCTGAGAATTTTGTTTAAAATTCTCAAAAGGCCTCCATCATCCTTAGACACTTGTTTTCCTAGTTTGTGAACCCTACATGATCTGCCCCACTCAACATGGGGCCTGGCAACTAGATCTCCTTCTGCTGACAGATAACTGATAAAGGATACAGGACACCTTCTAATCAGGGGCATTTGGGGGCATGATTGTGTAGAAGATGTGCTCCAGATGGAAGGGACTGGAGAATGCTGTGATGCATGGGAAAGGAGTAGGGGAAGGAAGGAAAGGAATACACTTCTATAATCAGACTCCAGCTTGGAGAAAGTCCTGCTTCCATGGACAACCAATTGCTAAGGCAGCCCCATCAGCAGCAGGGTCTGTGGCAGTAGAAGACCACATCCACTCCACTGGATGGGTGATGGAGAGAGATGGGGTCTGGGTGTTGTAGAGAGAGAAGAGGAGAAGGAGGAATAGCTGCCATTTTGCAAAATTCAATAGACTGCCTATAGCTGGGGCCAAGCAGAGGGCATGGCAACCAAGAATTTAGCCACAGGCTGGACTCAAAAGAAGTTGAGCTGGGACAAATGTGTCTTGGCTGACATGGCAGAGATTGGGAACCTCAGAACCTCAAGACCACAGCTGGGCTCCTTCTCCCCAAAGCCAAGTGCTCTGTACTCTTCTCTTATGCCACCCAAGTGAGGAAATAAAAGCCCCCTCTATCCATGGGAAAACACATGGAGGTATGTCTTACTGTTGTCCAAGTGGTTGGCCTTAATGATCTTCTCTGAGTAGTCAGAAATACTGGAGCATTCAATCTAGAAAAGCACAGAACAAAGGAGCAATGCATCAAAAATACAACCAGCACCAACTTAAGAAACGGAGAAGCTGAGACCTACAGGGGTGCAGTAATGTGCCCACAGCTGTCACTGCTAATCTGTGGCAGATTAAAAACTACAATGCAGCCCTCCCAACTTGTGGGGTGCCTTCACACTGGAGACCCTTGTCTAAGTTGGGAGATTCGGGAGGTGCTGGCAGACCTCACTCTCCTGACCAAGAAAGCATTGGATGAGGTGGCACAGCCACTATCCTCCTGGGAGAGCATGTAGGACCAACCAGAGGTGCTGTGAGCCTCCCTCGATGTTATCTTCCCACCACCCCCAACCCCTAGCCCTCACTGGTTAAACTTGGAACATTCCAGGATAGGGAATATCTGGAAAATGCCAAGTCAGGGCCTTGGGGCCAGTCTCTCTCTCTCCATTTCTCTCACATCTGTCTCCCAGTTTCACTGTCTCCATCTGCTGTCTCTGTCAATTTCCTCTCTCCCTCCCTATCTCTCTCCCTCTCTCTCTTCCCTCTCTCCTGCCATCCCAGCTTCCCTACTGGAGAAGAGCTGTGGGTGGAAGGGGGAACCTGGCACAGGAGAAGCTGAACTGTGAAATGAGCCAGCCTGAAAGAAGCCCAGCTAACTGTGGTGGAGCTGTTTATAAAAGAGCTGTTATAGCAGAAGAGCGGGAGGCAGCCAGGTTGGGACCAGTCACCACAGCTGGAAGGCGCCTGGTGGGACCTTCCTGACAGCTCCTTGGCCGGAGCCCCTGCCAACTTGGAAGCTCCAGCCGACTTGGAAGGCGGTGACAGGTGGCCCTGCCTCTCCCTGTACAGCCCTCCGCTCCCCCGTGTCTAGCAGAGACTGGGGCTGAATCAGGGCCTAACTCAGCACTGCGAGGAAGGTGCTCCGGGGTCAGCATACAGTCTCACCGCTCTGCGGTGGTGTGAGCTCCTTGGCAGTGGAGTCTGACACGGGCAGGAGGCCTCCACCCTGGTGAGCGGGGCCTTGTCAAGGGAAGCCGAAAGGTGGGGAGGGCAGTACCTGTGATCATGACAGGACTTGACCTTGGGCATCAGATTGGCCCCGTACCCTAACCACATGCCTCAGGTGAGTGCATTATAGCTTTTCTGGTCCAGGTTTCCAAAAGACCCTCTACAGCTAAGGACCAAGTGCATTCTGGGCGAAGCGTGAGGA